CAGCCGATGCTTTTATTTTGAAAGTGCTTGAAACGGCAAGGTGGTAAATTGACTGACGCAAAACTGCAGAAATGAGATCGGTCATAGTGCAGAGAGAGAGAGAGAGAGAGGGGACCGCATGGCTCAGAGTGAAAAGGAGATAATTAAGAAGTAGTTCAAATTAAGGTGCAGACAATTAGTTGGCGCTTGGTTGAGGGAACTAGGTGGGTGTTTTGATGTGTAAGTTTAGTTTTCCTGCGGAAAGTGTAGTTCGCTATAGGGTGTGACGGTTGTGTTTCGCCACTAGATGGTGCTAATATTCTTTGGTTATCCGTCAACAGGACAACAAAACGTTGTGTTTTATTTTATTTCACTTTACATGAATGTTAGAGTTTAATACATACATGTATTGTAAAACATAATTAAAGCACATAAGGCAAATGATTCATATGTTAAAAGGAAAAGGTTAGAACAACAATGTTTGAGTTACTAATGGTATTTTATTTGTATATTTTGTAGCTCTTACAGTGTGTTCAAATACAAAGGCTGTTCAATAAAGGATTGTGAACCATCAGTTTGAGAGACCATCCTTTCAACCGGGATGCTACAATCAGTATTAAATTAACAATTTACAAACTAGTTATCCGTGTGCTTCTATCTGCATAACTGAAAATAGAATGAAAATATATCAGACATAAAAAACTAAGAATTTTTCAAAATAACAAAAATAATTTTATTGTTTTGATGGCTTTAATGTGATCTCCTCTCATGTTCTCACATCTTGTCTCTTCAGTGACCTTTCATGTTTTCACTTGTTTCTATGGCAACGCGAACCTTTCTTTCATAAGAAACTCAGTTATCGTAGTGACTATTTGTCCCAAAACTTAAATTCAAAAATCAAAAAAACTCAAAACTCAAAAGTTATCAAAACAAAAGGGTGAATCCTACTCAATAGTCACTTGATGCACCGTGGATTCCGGTTTGCGCAGCACAAAAGATCAAAAAGTCAAAATGCCATAATTTGGTTTTATTTTGAAGTTCAGGCAAAAAGGTTACAGGCCTCTGCTCCTATTCCTGTACCTGTTCTCTGACTGACAATTAGATACTGATGTGACTGATTCGATAGGCTGGTAAAAAACCTTGTGACCACCCACGTGCATAATAAGCTACCAAGACCCGTGAAATACCCACATCCCAACCTGAAATTAATTAACTAATTAAGTGAATTACTAACCAAAAACCTTATTCTAAATAACAAATTAAACAAAAATTCTAATGATAATCAACTAGGAAATAAACAAAAATAAGAATAAACTAAACAATTTAAATTCTAAGATTTAACCAATAAATGGGGAAATAGCTTCAAGCCAAAACAACAAATCTCTGTGTCCCTCTAAAATATATGTAGTCATTCACTGTTTAGCTTTAAAACTTAATAATATCCTACAAAAATAATAATATTCTACTCTGTTTTACTAACTAAATAGATCATACTCAAAAAATGTAGAATACATACATACCAATATGGTTCTTCTGTAAGATAAAAATTACCTTTTGATAACAGGTAATCCTCATAATTAACAGAAGTAAAAGGCTTTAAATATTAGTTTTGTATAATTACTCTGTATACTTCAGTTCACTCACTGAGATAAATGAACCTTTCAATAATATTCTATTCTACCTAATTTGCATGTTAGGAAGAAATTCCAAGCAGAACAAAAAAACTAATTTACAGTTAATTCAGTACAGCCAAAGTGGCAGTGGAGAAACTGCACCCAGGAAACAATAATAATAAAAACAGATAATTAAACAATAATAATAAGAACAGATTATTAAACAACAATAAAACAGATAATTAATTGCATATTTAATAATTATCTTGATTGACTGCTAAGTTTACATTTTGATGAAGTAGTGACATATTTAATGTGTATTAAATAAACGCTTTAAATAATTTTATCATTGTCCATTTTCACCTTTCATATTTTGTCTTCCAAATTGTCCTTTAAATGCATTTCTGGAGCTCATTCCAGGAATCTGTTGGTTCTGTTTCTGCTTGGGTTCTGCTGTGTCTCACAGTGAGGTTCTGCGGTTGCCAGTGGAAGAAACAGAACCAAAATAAGGGCATTTTGAACTGAAGATACCTACCAATCCACCACAGTCAGCTGACCAAACAGAAGAAGAAACGGTGCAATGGATCTGCAGTGTCTCACACTGATTAGTGACCTTTTTTTTTAAACATGTTTCATAAGTTACAGTTGAGCTAAATAACATTAGCAGGCTCTGTTGTTCCAAGCTGAAGTTAATATCTGTGGCTGTTAACAGATTTGATTCACTGTTGATGTTTTCCACCTGAAACAGCTGAGAACTGATGTTAGAACAGTTTTCTATGAGGTTACCAGCTGAATGGCTACTGGGCTGGATTTCCTCTGTGAATAAGAAGAGATCTCACCAGCTCAAAAATAAATTGTTTTGTGTCAAAATGTTTATTTTTTTAATTGCTTTAATTTCATATTTCATAAAAGTCCTGGTTTCATTTGTTCTGAGCATAAACTCACCAAAAAGTGAAATAAAAGCTGTAAAACATTTTAATGTGAGTAATTCATGTGTTTCATTTGAACTGATCTACTGGAAAGGCTCCGTACACAAGAGTGGATTAAGTTACTGAAATAAATGAACTTTCAATAATATTAATTTATTTAATAAAACTATTTTAAAATACGAGACTAACAGTCGGAAATTCAAAGCGGAACGAAAAGTGGTTTACAGTTTCTTCAGTGCAGCTACGGTGAAACACAAGGAAGCTAAAAACAAAGAGCAGATAGTAGCGTTAGCTTTAGTTTAGGTAGACGGTATCTAATACAAAAACTCATGTGAGTTTTTGTAAATAGTTGCGTGTTTGTTTACAATTAAAAATCTCTTCAGCTCAGCCTTAGAGAGAGTTTATCAACGAGCAGGAAACTCCTGCTGAAGAAACATTCACAGAGTTGAAAGAAATCAACGTCAAGATGGAGGATCAGCGCAGACTACTGGATTTCAGACGGATACCAAAGATCATCTTACACCGGATAGGTACGAAACTGCCTCGCGTTTTGCTGATGAGACGAGTTGTTTGGGGCCAAACTGAACCCTCAACCGAAAGACTGGGGAATAACAGCCGGAAATACGAAATACTTAGTGATTAGTTGTGACCTTGTCTATTTACTGTTCTTCGAATAATATCTAAATTACAGTTTATGATCCGTAACACACTTATCTTTACTACACCAGTTTAAGGAAGTACTGGTAAGAGTTTGTGTTTAAAATGATTCGTTTTAATTGTGTTTTCTGCGTTATTTCAATCTTACACACCCAGTTTGAAAACTGTAGAATGTAAAACAAAGCTTGTGAAACCTTCATTAAATTTGTGAAAACTCAAAAAAGAACCACTTTGGATTATCTATTGTCTTATTCAGGACCTTAGATGGGATCTGTTTTAAATGAAACTATATGTTACCCTGAAAACTTAAAAGTGGACTGAATTATTCTACATTCGTCACAGAATATGTAAGATACAGTGTGGTTTCTTCACTTTTCTCAAAAGCAATACATTTTATATAGTTCCATAATGACCATTTGCATAAAACGTAGTTTGGGATTTGTGAAAACTTCAAACAAGGTATGAACCTCATGACAGGATGTTTTTAGATTGGCATCTCCTCAAATGAGGCCTGACCTGAAAGCAGGTTTATTTAGACCTGCTTTCAAATGCAGATTCAAACAAAAATGGAAACATATTTGAATCTTTCCTTGACAATATTTGATAGAGTCAGTGTTGTGAGCTCTACTTAACTTCCCGTATAATGTTTTGTTTCATTTTTTTTACAAGGCTATTAAGATGTTTACTGTTTTCAATTTGTCAAATGTTGCATTACTAGTAGCAAGTTGTTCAGTTGTTTCTTTAACTGAATACTTGCTGCATTGTGTCTGCAAGTGTTTTGTATGTTTTTGTTAAAATAAAAACAATGCATTTATTTAGCATTTATAGCTAAATTGTGATCAGTGCTGGTAGTGGGCACTGAAATGTGATAATTGATTTAGAACCAATTCTCAAAAAGGTTAATATCTAATTAAAGCTATAAAAGCATTATTTCGTCTGTCAATTGGTCTAAATCAATCTTTCTTAATTTAGAGCCAATTGGCCTCACCAACAAAACACAGCAGTGGAGTTATCTAAATTACTAGTTTTATTAATAAATGCCCTAAGCAATATATAGTTATTTACAGCCAAGCTAGACTCTATCATTGACTGCCAATCCTTGACTCATCATGTCGTTTGTTGCTTCAACTGCAGAGCTGTTGTCACTCATAAGATTCCCTGAATTTAGTTAAGCATGGCATCTAGAACTTTATCTATTCTGTCATAACCTGCCTTCCGTTATTGTATTCATTCAAACTCAAATTCAAAAATACTTTATCCCAAAGTGAAATTGAATGTTGTTGTAACTCCTTGATTTCGATTCTTCAAAGAGTTATTGTAGATGGTGATGGCTGTTGGCAGGAAAGCTCTCTTGTAGCGGTCTGTATTACAGCGGACCTGAAGAAGCCCCTGACTGAAGATGCTCTGCCTTCCCCACACAGTTTGATGAAGAGGATGGTCAAGGTAGTCCATAATTTTCTTCATTTTATGAAGAATCCTTCTTTGCATAATCATCTCCAGAAGTTCCACAGTTGTCCCAGATCAGAACTAGAACAGAACTAGATCAGAACCAGCCTTCTTTATCAGGCTGTTGAGCCGTTTCAGGACCCTGGCTCTGATGCTGCTTACCACCTCCACTTTTTCTCTCATGGAGATGGAAATTGGGTTTGATCTAACTCCGTTCCTCCTGAAATAAACAGTCACCTCCTTTGTAGTTATCCTGTTACACACCAAGCAATTTCTGGTGCAAAACTCTGGTAAACTACAACTCTTTTCCCCTCCAACGTACATTTTCCTTTTGCCAGGCCATACCTTATTGCTTTTGTTTAATCTTTTTGTCCAGATCTTCCACAAAACTGTGTGTGCAAAGAGGAGGAGGTTCTCAATGAGCCCAGCAACCAGGAAGAGAACTCCACTTTAGATCAAGAGGAACCAGAACCTCTGCAGATGAAACAGGAACAAGAGGAACCAGAACCTCTGCAGATGAAACAGGAACAAGAGGAACCAGAACCTCTGCAGATGAAACAGGAACAAGAGGAACCAGAACCTCTGCAGATGAAACAGGAACAAGAGGAACCAGAACTTCAACAGTTCAAAGAGGAAGAGAATCAACTCTGCATCAGTCAGGATGAAGAGCATTTTGTGCTGAAACAGGAGACTGATGACATGTTGGTGAATCCTTCTGATGTGCTAAAAACAAACAATTCACAAAAAATGCACAAGAAGGCTCACCCAGACAAAAAAAGATATTCTTGTAAAATCTGTGATAAAACCTTTTCTCAAAACAGTTTCTTGACTGCACACTTGGTAACTCACACAGGAAAGAAGCCTTTTACATGTTCAACTTGTGGAAAAGGTTACAATCAAAAAAGTGGTTTAATGTATCACATGAAAACTCACACAGATGAAAAACCGTTCACATGTGTTACTTGTGGAAAAGGTCACCGTCAAAAAAGTGCCTTAAAGAGTCACATGAGAACTCACTCAGTTGAGAAGCCTTTCTCGTGTCTAACCTGTGGAAAAGATTTCACTGGCAAAACAGTCTTAAAGAATCACATGAAAATTCACACAGGTGAGAAGCCTTTCTCATGCATGTCCTGTGAAAAACGTTTTGTCAATAAACACAGTTTAGTTGTTCACATGAGAATTCACACAGGTGAGAAGCCTTTCTCGTGCATGACATGTGGACGAGGTTTCTCTCTAAAAGGTAATTTAGTTATTCACATGAAAGGTCATACTGGAGAGGAGCCTCTCTCATGCACTGCTTGTGGAAAACGTTTCCTTACCAAGTCTTGTTTAAACATTCATATGAGAATTCACACAGGTGAGAAGCCTTTCTCATGCACAACCTGTGAAAAAAGATTTGCCTATAAACACACTTTAAGTATTCACATGAGAACTCACACGGGGGAGAAGCCTTTCTCATGTGTAATCTGTGGGAAAGGTTTTGCTCAAAAAGGTGGTTTAGCCACACACGTCAAGGGTCACATGGGAGAGAGGCCTTTCAGCTGTAAAACTTGTGGGAAATGTTTTAGTCAATCATCTCTTTTAACTAATCACATGACAACACACACGGCTGAGAAACAATTCTCATGTGTGACCTGTGGAAAGAGTTACAGTAAAAAAAGGAATTTAACTTATCACATAAGAATTCACACAGGCGAAAGGCCTTTCTCTTGTGCCACTTGTGGAAAAAGTTTCCGAGGCAAATCTAATTTACGTTATCACATGAGGACTCACACACGTTAGAAGCCTTTCTCACATTGGAACCTGTCGAAGGTTTCAGTCAGAAGTTTAATTTATCACAAGATAATTTATCCAGTATCATGCAGGATTATTTCCCCACTACCAGCTTTGCATAATATAAACCTGAAGCATCAAGGTGTTCAGTAACTTGCTGTTGGGAAGCAGAGTAATTACAACTGGATCACATTTTTATAACTGTCGCAGCTTAGTTTAAAACGCTTTTCAAATAGTAAGCTTTGCTAAAATACTTGGGAAAATTCTCATTGGTGACCTGTCCTGGGTGCACCCTGCCTCTCGGCTGTAACGTTAGCTGGAGATAGGCACTAGCAACCCTCCTCACCCCACTAAGGGACAGAGGTGTACAGAAAATGGATGGAAGTGAGATTTTAATGGTGGATTCTAGAGAATCAATGGGTTTAAATGCAGTCAGTTAATTTGTAAAGGTTTTGGTGCCCTTATTGTGTGTTTATCCTTTGTTGTATTTATACCTTGTTTTGTTCAATGATTTTGGTTAATGGATACATGTTGGCTGATAGAGAAAACTGGATTTTCTCTATCCAGTTTTGACTCAGGACAAAAATACTGCTGATAATATGATGGCAACAACACAGATATAAGGTTTACTAAATTATGATTATTTTTTTTTGTTATTTTTTAAATCAAAAACTTTTTTATCCTGTATTTTCTTAATCTATAACACTATTTTATGGTTGTGGTTTATATTTTAGGATACAAGGAAATGTGTTGATGATTTAGAAGATGAGTTCTAAAAAAACTGTTGCTGTATGGTTCTTAAATATTAAAGTAAATTTTCCATAATGATGGTCTATTTTTCCCACACTTTAGTTGTCATTGTTTTAGCGATGCTTCTGACCCACATGCAGATAAACTCAGGCAAGGATAAAATTTTAAAGGTTTATTTACAAAAAGAAATGTGCAAATGTAGAGGTTGCAGCAGGGATGACCAGGAGAGGACAGACCAGCACACTGAGGACAGACAGCCACAGGTGGGTGAAATACTCAGCGGGGAGCCAGGATATTGCAGGAGATGCTTACTTTAAAGGGACGAAGCTTCGGCTTGGAAGAAGTGATCTGATCTGGGAGACCTGAACAGGTCAGCACAAAAAACACTGGTAAACAACTAGTTATCACTACAAGGAAAGTCAAGACGCTCTAGGAGGCTAGGGGTTACCACAATGGTTAACACTGGTGTTGGAGTGTTAACCAACTGGAGTTGGAGTGTTGCCAACGAGCCTGCCTCGTTAGCAGGCTCGTTATCATCGGACCTGCTAACGAGGCCCGATGATACAGATCCCACAAACCGTGCTCCCTGTCGCCATCTGGTGGAGAACTAATGGAGGTGTAGTGCAGTAGATCCCAACAAGTTGTGGATTGTGACCCACTTAAAAGACTGTACAAGATGTATACAAGTACCTGCAGCTTGAGTCTATAACTGTGATGCATTTTTAATGTCTCTCTGCCTGCTACTTTTCTTAAACCATTTTTGTTGTTTTACTTCTCACTTCAATCAGTTTAGAAAATACTAGTGATGGGTTTCTGTTGAATTATTAACTTCCGGCAGGTACTATCATGCCGCCACCTACTGACAGGAACTTGATACAACAACTGCATTGTTTCAGCTATGCAGTTGATTCTGCAGAACTAATTGAGTTAATTCATTTTTCAAGCACAAAAACCTGTATTTCATGTGTTTGATCTCTTGAAGATGTTTCTATAATCTGTGTAACTGAATTATTTTAACACAAAAATATGAGTTTAATGAAAAGTATGTTTAATTGAAGGTTTTATTAAAAAAGGCTTCCTAAAATAATGGTATTTCTTTTAGAAAACTTTTCTAACATAATTTCTCAGGAGTCTCAGGTGGAAAACTCTTAACAGTGAACCAGATCTGTCAGCATATATAATAAATTAAGCCTGCCTGCTAATTTCATTTAGTTCAACTGTAACTTAGTCAGAAAGGTAAACAATCATTCCAACACAATGCAGATCATTTTCTTCTTCAGTTGGATCAGTTGATTGTGTCGCATCAGATATGCACAGTTTGAAATGCTCTTATTTTGAAATTGGCATGACAGTGAGCAGTGGCAATGTCATCACCTGTTGCTAGGTAACCTCAAACTGCTTTGATCAGCTGTGAGATAACAGGCAGCCAGTGTTCCAACTCTTCCATTTACGTGGAATCTGTTTATCAGAGAAGCACAAAGAGAAATCTTTTAGAAATCCTTTCAAAATGAATCGCTTTGTTTCCGATAGTCTTCGAGACATGGGAATTTATATTCCCGATGATCAAGCCGATTGTTTATACTGTGGAGAAGATTGGTTCTGCTTCTTCCACTGGCAAGAACAGGACCTCGCGGTGAGACCAATCACTGTATTTCAAAAACTGAAAATAGATCGTTTCCTTCGCGAAACTCTTCGAGATATGGGAATTTATATTCCCGATGATCAAGTTGAATGTTTCTACTGTGGAGGAGCTTGGTTCTGCTTTTTCCACTTGCGACCACAGGACCGCAGGGTGGACCAACCAGAGGACCGCAGGGTGGACCAACCAGAGGGCTTCAGGGTGGACCAACCAGAGGACTTCAGGGTGGACCAACCAGAGGACCTCATGGTGGACCATCTAGAAACAGAACCAACTACTGAAGAGACCCAACCGATTCCTAGTACGAGCTCTTATATTGATACAATACCAGAAGATGAGATCGGCACTAGTAACACATTTGTAGGACTCAGAAAGTTGTATGAAAACGCCCCATTAACTTTAGCAGATCCTGTTTTGGTTGAAATACCAGAAAGAAATCCTTTAATCATCGTGAGGTTGGATTTATATTCTGACGAGATGAGGGAACTAATCGCTCTCATCAGTCGTCGAGCCTTGACAGAAACTCTGGGGCCAGACGCTCCACGTGATCGTGACTTTTTTTCGGAGACTGCAAATGGTTCTTCCACTACTGATGCAGGTCAACAGCCTTGTTGCACCACTTTTTTGGGGTCTTTTAAGCAAACGGCAGGAAGAGTTTATCGCAAAATTGATGAATTTACTGCGTCTGTCTTTGGAAGAGCTGTGATGCCGTCTCCTCAAGTTGGCCTGGCAACCGTTCTGGTGATCCCACTTCTCGTAGGTGGGCTCATAAAACTGACAAAAATTAGTCGGCTTTGGCACTAGCTACAGACTGGCAACAGTCCAAGAATAACCTGTCAATGACTGGTTCAGTTTTGTTTCTAGATAGAATTACAACATTGATTATTCCTTTCCACAATACTGTTCATTAAAATGCTGCTAATCCTTCCTTCAAAGCAGACTGACGTATTTATTCTCCTGCACTTTTCTTGTGGTTTTGATGTTTCTGACTCAGTGAAACATTCCAGATCATAAAACTGATTTAAATAAAAACAAAAATAAGCTGCATAATTACCAACAACTGTATGAAAACATTCAGCGGCGGAGTTAAAAAAAAAAAAAGACTGCATGGGTTTTCTCCAGGTTTCCACCTCAATCCAAAAACATGGAAGTTTGGTTAACTGCTCTATAAGTTTCCTTTAGGAGTTACTGTTGGCCCATTTAACTGACTGTCTTGAGTTTTTAAGCATTGTAACAAAAAACAAAAAACAAAAAAACACCTGTAAAATTGATGTACAAATGTAAAATGTACTAATGACTATTTTTAATGGTTCATTTATTTACAGTAATTTTAATAAACAGTTTTAAGATGTTCCATAGTTTATGGGCGTTTCCTGTCACTTTTACTGTTTATCACTGTTAATATGTCATCATAAATGAGGGTGTCTCATACATATCCATCGTAAGATTGTTAAATGCAACAGTCTGCGCTGATCATCCATCTCAACTTCCTTCTAGCAAAATAAAAGCTAACGTTTCTATCTGTTCTCTTTTTCTTTCCTGTGTGCTCTACTGAACAAATTTAACTACTTTTGGTTCCAGTTTGAATTTTCCTATCTCCACTGACTCTCCTCTTTTAATAAATATTTATATTAAATAAATTAGAGAATTGTTGAAAAGTTTATTTAGTTCAGTAACTCAGTTTGTCAGAACCACCTGACAGATTAATCAACACCACACATTAAAAGGCCTTTATTTCAGATCAACTAATGAAAACATTACATTTAAGATCAGAATGTTAAATTAGACTAATTCATAAAAACATTTTTACTGCAACATATAGGCTTGAAAATGATATTACCTTAATGGTAAGAAATTTACGCTGACAAAGAAAAACCTCATCATATTCTAATTTAA